GTTTTTCCACTAGTTGGTGCCTAATCCACTTCTGTATAGTTCCTTTCAAAGCTCAGGGCTCCAGGATTATCTTCTATATCTCTGTCAATTGGTTTTTCTTTTCTTTGTTGAAGAGGGTCTGTGTCACTTGTCTGCCTATTCCTTCATCTTACCCAAAATTTTCCTGTGTTTTGCTTCTCTGATTCCTTCTTCTATCTCTGGGAATTGGAGAAGTTGGAGAGGTGGGCAGATACTACACCATGTAAATCTTCAAAGACTTCAAGGACTTCTCTGGGAATTGGAGAGTCCATGTGAGAATTAGCTCTCCACTTTCCTCTGAATTGTTGAGTTTATTCATGGTTGCTGTCTCTGCCCACATGTGAGAGTTCTCACTTGTCCCCATGGTGATCTGTTCCTATATCTCTCCACAGGGTGATGGTTGGAGCCCCCCAGGAGATAAAGGCTACCAACCAAACTGGTGGCCTCTACCAGTGTGACTACAGCGTGAACTCATGTGATCCCATCCCCCTGCAGGGTAGGTTACTGCCTATACCTGAGGTCCTACCTGTGCGTTCACCTGGACTCGACTTGCTGGGCATTCCTGTGCTCAGGGGAAGGGGGGTCCATGGCTGAGGGCTAAGGATTCCTGCCCCTCAGTCTTTTGTGTTGTCCACAGACTCCACCCTAGATACCCTTTGATGTTCCTTTCCCATGACCTATATATAGCCCCCTTGACTTCCATGTCTCCCAGGGCTGAGGTGGCCCCAGATCAGCTCTCCAGAGTCCTATTGCCTCTCAATGCCTCCAATGGTAACTGTGTTCATATTTGATTCCTCAGTCCCCCCGGAGGCTATTAATATGTCCCTGGGCCTGTCTCTGGCTGTCACTACCAAACCCTCCCAGCTGTTGGTGAGTTGGTCTGGGTCATGGGGCGATCCTTAGGGGAGGAGTTGGGAGCTCAGAGGCACAGGGATCTGGGGTCTTGTGGTGAGTAGAGATACTGGGGCAAAAGGATGGAAAGCAGGGGCAGCCCCTCCTACCGGCGCTCTGCTCCCCAGGCCTGTGGCCCCACTGTGCACCAAACCTGTAAAGAGAACAGCTATGTGAATGGCTTCTGCTTCTTATTTGGATCCAACCTACATCAGCAGCCCCGGAGATTTCCTGAGACCCTCAGAGGTAGGTTGTTATGGAAGAGGGCACAATTGGGCGGCATGAGATGGGAAGGTCATGGCAGGGCTGACCAGGGGCCTGTTCATGGTCTGAAGGGTGAGTTAGAGGTCTAGATGCAAAGGGGGGAGGGGACTGGGTTACAATAGAGAAGGAGAGGCTGGGGAAGGTGCTTGGCTTTGTATTTTAAGAAAAGTCTTAATGTAGCCCTTTGTGAGAGGGTAACTGGGCCACCTAATTTCAGGGATGTCACAAGCACTGTTCTTAGAATGAGTGCCTGAGTCTCCCAACCATAGTCTTTGAAGGTCTGGATGATGTAGGCCCTGCCCACCTCTCCAACTTCCCTCCCATCCCTTCCACCTCAGTCATTGTGTTCCAGCCACCCTGGCCACCTTTCTTTTGTAGTAACCACACCAAGCTTATACCTGCCTCAGGGCCTTTGTATTTACTGTTCCTTCAGCCTGTTCCTTCAGCCTGAAGTCCTCTTTTCCCAGGTCTCAGCATGGCTAAAAACTCTATCATCTCCACACAAATGTCACCTCTTCAAAGAAGCTTTCCCTAACTAACTTCTAATCATTCCTGCCCACTCACTGTTACTCCCTACCACATGCCTTACTTCAGCATCTTTATATGTACGTAGTCATATGTCTGCCCAGGGCCACTGGGAATACAGCTTCTTTTCCTGCCCACATGTTCTCCTGCATGATCTCATCCAGTCCTGAGGCTTCAGCTTCTTCCTCCACATTTCTCTCTTTAGTCTTCACTCTCATGAATTTAAAGACTGTATGTTTTTTTTTTTTAACTTCCATTTCTTTAAAAATAGATAATATTGCTCTTGGTTCAAAATTCAAAAGCACCAAAGGAGGATATATTGAAAACATTTCCTCCTCTTGGGTTACCCACTCCCCTATTTTCCTTCTTGAGCATCAGCCACTATTACCAGTTTCTTTTGATTTCTTCCAAGATGTTCCATATATTTACAAATATACAGGTATCTGTGTTCTGCACCTTGATTTTTTTCACTTTGCAACATATCTTTGAGATCTTCAAAAAATTTCCCAGGTCCTCTCCTTTGTATATTTTCTATATAAATGGTAAGATTGGTTTGTCTAGTTTTTTTTTAAAGTGCTTTTTATTTTCCTCCTAATTTTATTAATTACCATGTAGTAAAACTGGCACTTAACAACAACAACAACAGTAAAATTGGGAGCTCTGGTAGCATGATGCCTAAGGCACTTGACTTCTAACCAGAAGGCTAGCAGTTCAAACCCACCAGCCACTCCTCAGAAGGAAGATGGGGCAATCTACTTCTGTAGTGATACTGCCTCGGAAACCCAAGGAGGGGTCACTATGAGTCGGGTCCGACTCGATGGCACATAACAACAACAACAATAGTAAAATTTTCTTTCTAGTTTCATGAATTTGAACATATTTATAGATTTGTGAATACCACAACCATAATCAATTCTATTCCCCCCAAAAAACTCCATGTGTCCTTTTATAGTCAGTCTCCTCCTCCCCCCATCCCTGGACCCTGCAACCACTGATCTGTTCTCCATCACTATAGTTTTGTCTTTCAAAGGGTGTCATATAAATGGAATTGACTTCTTTCACCTAACATATAGCATATAGATCCATCCAAGTTGGTGCCTGTATCAGTAGTAGTTCATGCCATTTTTATTGCTGAGTAATTTCACTATATGGATTTATCACAGTTCCATTTACTAGCTCAACTACTCACCCACCGAAGGATGTTTAGGTTGTTTCCAGTGTTAGGCAATCATGAATAGAGCTACTCTAAACTCTTCACAGCTGTGGTAATTTTCCTAAAATAAAAGACAAATCATTTCCCTTCCTGTTTTAAAAACCTTCAGTGGTTCCCCACTGGCTAAAGGACAAAGCCACACTTCTTGGGCCCTTCCCAATCTGGTCTTTGCTTAACATCATAGTTTTGTCTCCATCCCCCTCACATACACTTACCTCTCTAGTACCATTTCTATTTCTTGTTCTGCCACTATCCTTTTAGGCTCCCATTCCCTTTATGGCAGTCAGAGTCCCAATCAAAACAGATGGCCCACTCCAATTAGGATAATTCAAAGACAGTTTCTTTACAAAAGGACTAATTATAAAGGTTGGGGTAGGGTCTAGGGGAACTATAAGGAGTGGTCCAGGAACTTAGGGCAAGCAGCAGAAAAAAGGTTACCACTCCTTAGCTGATGAGGTGAGGAGAAGGAGTGGTTACTAGACCCAGAAGGAGAGAGAGTTGTGGAGCAGGCCCCCTTGAGAAGAAAAGTGGTCTCCTGTCAGGGACACAGCTGGCCTAAAGCAAGCTTCCAGGGAGGAAGGCAAAGGGGAAATACCCTGATCTCACTCTGCTCCCTCCTTTCAGTCTCCTGTTGAGGCTCCTATTTGGCCAAATCCTACGGAGAAGCCAAGCTGAGGAGGAGGGGGCCCTGTTGATATGGTCCTTGTGGGCCATTCTTTTGGGTCACAGGGGAGGGTGAAGAAGGGTAGAAAGATTTGATGATGGGCCAAGGAAGGCATCCAGCACACTGTTATATGTGCTATGATCTCTTTGTAATTTATTTCTCCCTTCACACTCCTGGAAAACTGTTTCTTACTCTTCATGATCTGGGAGCTCTGGTGGCCTAGTGCCTAAGGCATTTAACTGCTAACCAGAAAGCTGGCAGTTCAAACCCACCAGCTGCTTCTTGGAAGGAAGGTTGGGCAATCTACTTCCATAGAGATACCACCTTGAAAACCCAAGAAGGGGGTGGCTATGAGTTGAATTGACTTGACAGCAGTGAGTTGTTTTTTTTTTCCTTCATGATCCAGCCCCAATATTACTCTTTTCCCAGATTCCTTCAGATAGAATTAAAGAAATTCTTCCACACTACTTTGTCCAGGCTTTTGCTTCACTTAGAGCTTGTATTGTGTCTTATTTATCTTTTTATTATGTTTGTGCTCAGCAGAGAGCTGATATACAAAAAATGAACATTGAATCTCTAATTATTTAATTAATCAATTCCTGTTTTCCCCTCTTGCCCAGAATGTCCTCAACAGGAGAGTGACATCGTCTTCTTGATTGATGGTTCTGGCAGCATCAACCCAAGTGACTTTCAGCGAATGAAGGAGTTTGTCTCAACTGTGATGGGCCAATTCAAAAATTCCAAAACATTGGTTAGGGCCAATGAATCCTCTCCTCTTTCAATTGCAGACATTGCCACTGGATTGTGGTTTTCTTTCATGAGTCTCTTTTCTGCTGTCTCTGAAAGCAGCCTCCTCATTCTTTTCAACCCTGTGTGAAGGCACCTTTGACCAATGGATAGGGGTTGGCTTGGAGGATGAAATCCACCTGTCCTCTCTAGTTAAGTTTTAGTACCAAGAAGAAGGAGCTATATGGCAGATCTCTGTCCTGGTGAGGCAGAGAGATTGAGGAGCAGTGTAGGGGAGGTGTCTGGAGGCTGGGTATTTTAAGATTTATGGAGGGCTTGCTTGGGTAAACAATATGCTTTCCTGGGTGGAGATGTCTGGAGGGGTGGAGGGAGTGGCATCTACTCCAGTGTAATGCCAGGTGCCCGTTCCCAGTTCTCTTTGATGCAGTACTCTGATACGTTCCGGACTCATTTCACCTTCAATCAATTCAAGAATAATCCTAATCCAAGATCACTGGTGACGCCAATAAGACAGCTGATTGGGAGGACACACACTGCCACAGGAATCCTCAAAGTAGTGTAAGGTCTTCCCTCCTTGGTTGGGATGGAAGGAGGAGGTGACATCATTAGCTGGCCTTTGAAGGGTGGGGGGAGTTCTTCAGACAGGGATGGGGTAAAGGATATTCCTAATGGGGGGAGCAGCTGTGGAGGGGCAATTGTGCATGGGATGGTCATGAAAAAGCAAGTTGTGAGCAAAGGGAGAAAGTGTGGGGAAGGTGGCTGGAGGGAGGCTGGGTCACTAAAGACAACCAGAAGGTTTAGATTTTATGTTGTAGTCAGTGAGGATCTATTGAAGGCGCTAAGCAATGGGGTTGGCTAAGGAACATGTGTGTGTGTGTGTGTGTGTGTGTGTGTAGAGGTGGTAGTGGAGTTTAGGTCAAAAGTCCAAGGAGATGGGCTGGAGAGCATGGCAGTGTTCCAGCAGAGGCTTGATAAGGGTTTTTTTTTTTTTTTTTAATTTAAAAGTAATAATAACCAAGACCAAATCCACTGCCATTGAGTTCATTCTGACTCATAGAGACTCCATTGGATTTCCAAGGCAGTAAATCTTTATGAAAGTAGATTGCCCCATCTTCCTTCTGAGGAGCAGCTGGTGGGTTTGAACTACCAACCTTCTGGTTAGCAATCAAATGCCTTAGGCACTGTGCCATCAGAGCTCCATAAAAGTAATAATACTTAGTCTAACAAAAAAGGAAGTCAAACTATACAAAAGCATGTTGTTGTTGTTATGTGCCGTAGAGTCGGACCCGACTCATAGTGACCCCTCCTTGGGTTCCTGAGGTAGTATCACTACAGAAGTAGATTGCCCCATCTTCCTTCCAAGGAGTGGCTGGTGGGTTTGAACCACCAGCCTTCTGGTTAGCAGTCAAGTGCCTTAGGCACTATGCTACCAGAGCTCCCTACAAAAGCATATAAAACCAAAAATGTTTCCTTACCATGCTCCTTTCCCACATTTTCATCCCCTCCCCTGGTGCTTTTGCAGGTCTCAGGCAGCCACATTTCAGTGACAGTCTCAGGGGAGACTGAACCCCTCCTGCACAAGTCCAGTTGCATCTGTGTCTGTGACTTGGCTGACATTTCCTCCCAAGCATTAATAGTATCTCTGGTTAGTTGCATTTGACTTTGTCCCTCTTCTTTCTTGAACAGAAGGGAACTGTTTCACAGCAGTAATGGGGCCCGGAAAAATGCCCTTAAGATCCTGGTTGTCATCACAGATGGGGAGAAGTTTGGTGATCCGTTACGCTACGAAGATGTCATTCCCGAGGCAAACAGAGAAGGGGTCATTCGCTATGTCATCGGGGTAGGAAATGTGACTCTCAGGCCTGATGCTTCTGTGGAGGGTTTCTGATTGGACACATCCTCCTTTCAATTTGCAAATATCAATAAAATCAAAGCAGGGCAAGGGTCACTGCTAGCCTATATACATCTACCTATATGAGTTCTCTATTGTCACAGTAATGCAGTAAGTAAGCACAGTAAGTAAGCCTGTAGGCCAGCTGGTCACCTTTTTTGGTCTCTGCTGGGTTCATTTAGGAATCTGTAGTCAGCTGCAGGTTGTCATGCCCTTCTGCTGATCTTGGCTGGCCTCTGTCACTTGTCCTGGGGTTGTTAGCTCTGTCTGTTGGATGTGGCTGTTGTTTGGCTGGAACAACTGGGGTGACTGGCTTTGCTCCCTGTAGTTCATTCTTTAATAGACTAGTCTGGGCATGTCTTCATGGTGAAGGCAAAGAACAAATGAGCAAGTAGAAATCTGCAAGTGCTTTTCCAAGGCTCTGCTTATATCGCATTTGACAACATCCGGTGACTAAAACAAGACACAGGACTGAGTGCAGAGACAATGAGTGTGACAGTTTACCCCACTAAGAGTAGGAAGGTACAACAAAATGTTTGGAAAAGGACTTGCATATGGGAGAGATGAAAGAGTTGGGGTGATCAGTTCAATCAAACCTTATGTCCATTAGAAAGAGGCATCACCATAGGTCTGCCAAGCAGGAACACCTTCATGTCAAGAAAAAGACTCCTTTTCTTCTTGGGGAAGGTCAACCCTGCACAAAAATGCATGGCATAGCAAATGGTCCAAAGGCTGCATTTAACCCCTCAGTTGCTCCCTTGGCACAGTGCCCTTGTGCAGCATACAACTTGCCCAACTGTGCTAAACAACCCTGGCCCAGGGGCCTTATGCTGCCTTCCCTTATTTGGCAAAAATATTTCAGATTTTTCCCTGAAGAGTTTTCTTTGCTGCATGACACTGCTGCCCCAGACAGTGTCTTATTTGACCTCTGCTCCTTGGTAACAGGTAGGAGATGCTTTCAGAGGTGAGAAGTCCCGCCAAGAGCTTAGAACCATCGCATCCCAGCCATCTTCTGAACATGTGTTCCAGGTGAATAACTTTGAAGCTCTGAAAACTATTCAAAACCAGCTGCAAGAAAAGATCTTTGCAATTGAAGGTAAGTCGGGGTTCTGTGTTCCCAAGACAGTGCCAGAGACAGTCTTTCATCCAAACACTTAGTCCTCAATGGAAACTAGAACCTCGTAACCCTTGGTATCCTGACCCTCAACATCAACTCTCTCCCTAATTCTTCCAGCTCCCAGTCATCCTGGCCTCTCTTGGTCAATTCCCTTGAAATTGAAGAATCTAGATTCTCATCTCTAATTTTGCAAGTGTTGGCTGGAGGCTGGAATTGGGAGGGTGGGGAAGCCCATACTGTATATTTACTAAAATTTAGATGTGATGCCAGCATTTATCTGTTTGGTTCACTTCTATATCCCCAATGCCTGGTACATAGAAAGTACTCAACAAATCTTTGATGAATAAAATAATTTTAAAATTGAGGAATTTCTTATACAATATGTATTTCTAGCTTCTCTTGGAAATATGGAAGATGAGGCACCTCAAGGACCATATTCCCACTTGGTAGAGCTGAATAGCACCCACCCCTTTAAAAGGCGCATATGTTTTCCACTTCAACACAATTTCCATCTGAGTCTCTTTTATCCAGCCACCATAGGCATTTGCATTTTCAACCCCGGTTCTAGACAATTGTTTAATGTAGAAAGTTATCCTCGTCACAGGTACTCAAACCGGAAGCACCAGCTCGTTTGAGTATGAGATGTCTCAGGAAGGCTTCAGTGCCGCCATCACTTCTGTAAGTGGCCCTCCATTAAGTTATGGGGGGTAGAGAAGAGGCACAAAGGTTTGGGGTTTTCTGCGATGGGTACTTCTTAGGTGGTACTCCTCTGATGGGCATCAATGGTCTCTCCTTTTTTCTCCCATCTTCTGTTCTAACCCTTTCCCTAGAGTGGTCCTTTGATGGGCGCTGTGGGGAGCTTTGACTGGGCTGGTGGAGCTTTTTTGCGAACTTTAGACAATAAAGCCACCTTCATCAACACAACCAGGGTGGATTCAGACATGAACGATGCTTACTTGGGTAAGCGAGGAAGGGAGGAGGGTTACTCTAAGAAAGAGCAGAATGTGGTGTAACTCAATTTGTGTGGATGTCATCTGACCTTTCATAGGCTCTTAGGATAGCTTTAAAGGCAAAAATCTCAAAGTTTAATTTTAATTATGTTTACAATGAAGAACACTGACCCTATCCACGGGCTGGGCCTGCTTGGCAGAGAGGGGGCAGGGTCTATGCGGGAAAACACTTCTCCCCTTAGACCATTGTCTTCAGGTTATTCTGCTGAAGTCATCTCGCGAAACCGGGTACAGAGTGTGGTTCTGGGGGCACCTCGATATCAGCACATTGGCATGGTGATAATGTTCAAACAGAATGCTGACACCTGGGAGACCAGTGCTTCTATCAAGGGAAAACAGGTGAGTGCCGAGTCTGGAGCATGAATGTGCGGAAGGTCCGTGGGGGCTGAGGGACGCCGGGATGGGTATGGCCAGATAGGATGCATGGCTTGTTGTTGTTGTTGTTATCTGCCCTCGAGTCAGACCCAACTCATAGCGACCCTCCTTGGGTTTCTGAGGCGGTATCACTATGAAGTAGATTGCCCCATCTTCCTTCTGAGGAGTGACTGGTGGGTTTGAACCACCAGCCTTCTGGTTAGCAGTCCAGTGCCTTAGGCCCTATGCTATCAGAGCTCCCAGGATGCATGGCAAAGCCTTGTAAAGGAGCCTGCAGAGAGGGCTTTGAGCTGTAGAGGCATAGGATCAGCTTTGCATTTGAGAATGTCATGTCTTCAGCTTTTCTAACAATAAATGACAATACTTGGTTTGTACAGAGTTCTCTACCAGTTTACCTGTACCCAGAGCTGGTATTCAACCAGTACATAACCAGTATAGTTATAGTAGCTATTAAAATATTGAAATATTTCTATACCTTTCAATAAATAGCTGCTTCCCTAAGATGCTCCCCCTGTCATAGGCACTCTGGTCCCTCCCCCAGAACAGTTTGGCCTTCCCCATGATTTAGCAACTATGAGGTCAGGCAGGACACCTCAGGGACCTCTGAGATCTACCCTAGCAAAACTACTAGATAGTGTGCATGGAGTCCCAGCTATTAAATATTTTGACTATCACCCTTGCACAAGCAGCATGGTAGCACCTTATGTGGAAACTGGTGTGTGAGGCAGAAATTTTTACTCAAAATCATCCTTGCAGATCCCTGAAACAGTACCGCACCCACAATATTGTGTATACAGTTCTGTGTCTGTTCTTTTAATTTTTTTATCAGTGGTTCTCTTTGGTCTGCAATTAATGCCTTACAGTTTGCCCTGACACCTGAGAAGCTAGTCCTAGTTCTTTAATAATAGTAAAATTCTTCCCATGATCCTTGCATAGGTTTAATCAATACATACTAACTGTAGATGGTGTCAGTGCCTGGTATATATAATGATGGGATGGGGAAGACTGTGTAGGGGAATTCCAGGAAGTTAAGTGTGGGTTTGATGCCACTTCTCAGTTTTGTGTGTGCAATTCAGGATTGCACGGGGAAGTCTGACTAGTCAAGTCCTCCACCCCACCCCCTCACGCAAAAGTAATCACACAAATTATGATCAAGAGTAATCAATTCTTAAACTAGGACTAAACCTTAAATGGTTGAAAACAGGAGGGCATCCACACAGGGCATTCAGGAAAGGCTTTCTGGAAGAAGGGACATGTAAGCCAAGAGTGACGTGGAGGAGTTAAAGAAGTGAAGGGTGAGGGAAGAAAAGGGCTAAAGGCAGGAGAGCCTGGGACAGAGTTCAGTAAGAATGGAGTTCAGAGTGTGTGTGTGTGGGTGGGGAATCGTGGGAGAAAACACTGAGAAGGAAGGTGGGAGGCAGCAACTTCTAGAATCTGTCTACTCCCTCTATTTCTACTGCCATCAATTTGGTCTAAGCCATTATCATCTCTCATATAGATATATGGGCCTCCCAAAGTCCAGAATTGTCCCCCCAATCCAGAGAGAGGAGCTCTGGTAGCGTAGTGCCTAAGGCATTTGACTGCTAACCAGAAGGCTGGCGGTTCAAATCCACTGCTCGGAAGGAAGGTTGGGCAATCTACTTCCGTAGTGATATTGCCTCAGAAACCCAAGGAGGGGTCGCTATGGGTCAGGTCCAACTCCATGGCACATAATAACAACAACAACGATCCACAGAGGAAGATGAAGTTTCTAATGAGAAACTGTTTATATCAGTCTTCAGTTTAAGATCCCTTGTAGACCACAGGCCAATACATCCTCAACAAAACATTAGCAAGTTGAACCCTACAATATATAAAAAGGATAATACATCATGACCAAGTATGGTTTATTGCAGGGAATATGAGGTTTGTTCAATGTTTGAAAAACAATCGATGTTGCAGAAATGGACAAGCTGATCCTACAGTTCAGATGGAAATGCAAGACTCCAAGAATAGCCAAAACTTTCTCGAAACAAACAAACAGAAAACAAAACAATGTTGTAGGATTTTCACTTCCTAATTCAAAATTTGCTATAAAGTTTTGAATAATCAAGACAGATCGGTACTAGCGTAAGGACAGATGTACAGATTAATGAAATAGAACTGAATCCAAAAATAAACCCATGCCTCTATGGTTAATTGATTTTCCTCAAGGCTGCCAAGACCATTCAAAGAAATAGTCCTTAACAAATGGTGCTGCAACAGCTGGATGTCTCCATACAAAGATTGATGTTGGACAGTTGCCTCACATTATATACAAAAAGTAATTCAAAATGGATCAAAGATCTAAATGTAAGAGCGAAAACTATAAGACTCTTAGAAGGACACATAGATGTAAATTTTTATGATGTTGGGTTTGGCAATAGCTTCTTAGATTTGACACAAAAAACACAACAATCAAAGAAAAAATAGAAAATTAAACTCCATCAAAATAAAGAACTTTACCATGTCAAAGAACACCACCAAGAAAGTGAAAAGACAAACTATGGAACAAGAGAAAATATCACATGTCTGACAGGGGTCTAATATCCAGATATAATTAAAAAAACTTAAACTTTTCTAATAAGAAGACAAATAACCTAATTAAAAATGGACAAAGGATTTAGATAGGCATTTCTCCAAGGAAGATATGCAAATAGACAATAAGCACATGAAAAGATGTTTAACATCATTAGTTATTAGGGAAATGGAAATAAAATCACAACGAGATACCATTTCACACTCGTTACAATAGCTAAAAGAAAAAAACAAAAAAATAACAAGTGTTGGCGAGGTTGTGGAGCAATTGGAATCCTTATACATTGCTGGCCTGAACGTAAAATGGTACCTCTGCTTTGGAAAACAGTTTGGCACTTCTTCAAGCATTTAAATATAGAATCACCATAGGACCTAGTGATTCTACTTCTAGATATATTCTCAAAAGAAGTGGAAACATATGTCCACAAAAAAGTTGCACATGAGTGTTCAAAGCAGTGTTATTTATCATAGACAAAAAGTGGTAACAATCCAAGTGTTTGTCAACTGATGAACTGTTAAAGAAAATGTGCTATATCCATAAATGGAATGTCATTTGGCATAAAAACCAGAAAAATGCTGATACATGCCACAATATTTAGATGAACCTTAAAAACATTTTTCTAAGTGAAAAAAACCAGTCACAAAAGATTGCATAATGTGTGATTTCATTTACATGGAATGTCTAGAATAGACCATAGAGACTGAAAGTAGATTAGTGGTTGCCAGGGGATAAGAGAAAAGAGGAATTGGTACTGGCTGGTAACAAGTATAAGGTTTTTTGGGGGGGTGATGGAAATGATGTGGAACTAGGTAGTGGTGATGGTGGTACAACATTGTGAATATATGAGAAACCACTGAAGTATGCAAAAGAATGAATTCTGTGTTATGTAAAGGAGCTCTGGTGGCACAATGGTTACATGCTTGGCTGCTAACTGAAAGGCTGTGGTTCAAAACCACCCAGTGGCTCCGTGGGAAAGATCTAGCAATCTGCTTTTGTAAAGATTGTTGTTTGTTTGTTGTTATATGCCATAGAGTGGGACCCGACTCATAGCGACCCCTCCTTGGGTTTCCGAGGCAGTATCACTACGGAAGTAGATTGCCCCATCTTCCTTCCGAGGAGTGGCTGGTGGGTTTGAACCGCCAGCCTTCCAGTTAGCAGTCAAATGCCTTAGGCACTATGCCACCAGAGCCTAGAAAACCCTATAGGACAGTTTTACTTGGTCACATGGGGTTGCTGTGAGTTGAAAACAGACTTGACAGCACCTCACAGAAACTTGTTACGTAACTTTACCTCAGTGAAACAAAACTACATGGAACTCTGCTGGCATAGTGGTTAAAGCATTTGGCTGCGAACCAGAAGGTGAGCTGTTTGAACCTATCAGCCGCTCCGTGGGAGAAAGATGAGGCAGTCTGCGTCCATAGATTTACAGCCTTGGAAACCTACGAGGCAGTTCTGTTCTGTCCCACAGGGTCTCTACAAGTCAGAATCAACTTGATGGTAGTGGGTTATTTTGGAAAAAAAACATTTTTAACTTACCATAGCTACGGGAGCTCTGGTAACCTAGTGCCTAAGGCACTTGACTGCTAACCAGACGGCCGGTGGTTCAAACCCTCTGAAGGAAGGTTGGGCAATCTACTTCCATAGTGATACTGCCTCGGAAACCCAAGGAGGGGTCGTTATGAGTCGAGTCCAACTTGGTGGCGCACAACAACAACAACAACCATAGCAACAGACTGGAGAAGAAAAAGAAATACAATCAACTTAATAGATACAGAAAAATAATTTGACATAATATAAAATCCTTTTATAATAACAACTTGTAGCAAACCGGGAACTAAAGGAACCTTCCTCAACCTGGAAAAGCACATATAAAAACTTACAATTAACATCATATGTAATAGTGAAAGAGAGTGCTTTTCTCCTAAAATTGGAAACACAACAAGAATGTACACTTTAAGTATTTCTATTCAGTATTGTACTGGAAGACCTAGCCAGTGCAATAAGGCAAGAAAAAGAAAAAGATGACATACTTGACTGTATGGAAAATGCCAAATACTCTAAAAACCTACTATAAATAATAAGTCATTTTAGTAAGTTTGCAGGATACAAGATCAATATATAAAAACCAGTTGTATTTCTATACTAGTAACAAACTATCAGGAATTTACATAAAAAATCAATATCATTTACAATAATACCAAAACTCATAAAATAAACCCACTGCCATCTTCTGACAGCTACCCTATAGAACAGAGTAAAACTGCCCCACAGGATTTCCAAGGCTGTAAATCTTTACAGAAGCAGATTGCTTGATCTTTCTCCCATGGAGTGGCTGGTAGATTTGAACTGGTGACCTTCTGGTTAGTAGCCAAATGGTTTAACCACTGCACCACAAGAGCTCCTAAGC